GATCAATCACACACACACATATAATACAAATCTCCTTTACATTTTCAACATTTTTTACACATATGTAGCACAAGGGCCTAATATATCCAGTCAGGTAGACCCTGACATTGCATAGTATACACTGTGACTGCAAATATATATAATAAACACTACTAGCAATGGTAAATGGTGATGTCTATTTTAAAATCGTTAGACTATTCAGTACCATGTGAATTTATTAGCAGTCTGCATGCTCTCCAGAAGCTGGATCAGTTGAAGGGAAGCCTTCTTTGGATCCATCGCTAGCCATAGGTGGTAGCAGTGTGTACCAGTCCTCTGATCTGCTCCTCTAAGTCATCCTTAGAGGACTCAGAACTTTCAATAAAGCAATGATCTCCAAAAGCATGCAATACCAGCATTCTCATCACTGAGCCTGATTTAAAATTATCATGCACAAGACTGATTTCATTTTGTCTCCGTTGCCTGCCATCTATTCTCCCCATTCGGATATAACATGGCAACATTTTAACATTTATTTTATTTTTTACATAATCGGACACACGAGATGGAATGAGTTATATCAATATTAATAACCTACAAGTTCCATCTATGAGGAAGGAGTGGGATCATTAACTGGGCAGCAGAGGTGTAACCCCACGTCGCATTCTGCTTTGAGAAGTTCGTACAGCCATTACAAAAGTGTAGTAAAGTAAACATGCCTGTCAAATGACTCCCTGTTTAATTATTACTAGCCGCACTTTCTGCATTGCATTGCCCTCCAAGCTTTATTCAATTGCCTTAATGACGGTCATTTACAAGGCAGTAATTAGTTAGAAGAGACTCGGGAAGCATTTATCACGGTGTAATGTCACACGATGCTGTGTAGATGTGCCTACATGTCCTGCACATTCCATTCTTACTTTACATGGTGCTGGAACCTCAGTGTAGAAACAGGGTCAGCGGAGATGACATAACCATTGCCAGCTGTCATTTATTTTAAAGGACGATCTCTGGTGAGGAATATGTATTTCTAATAATGTCTGTCCCTGGAAACGTCATTGCTTTTCACTGCATTTTTCATACAATCTGTCAATAACTTTTATTTTTTTTAAGTGTCAAGCAGCCTTAACAATGCGAACAAAATATATAAATTGTCCATGCAATAGATTAGTTATTATAAAGCTGACAGATATCAATTACTAAAGGTGATTCAACGAGAGCAGTCTTCTACTGACAGGGAAATTGGATTGGGGGTTTAGTCATTAATAAGAAACTACTCCTTAACCCCCCTCCCCTCCTTTTCCCAACTACATTAGTCCCTCTTTATAAAGGAATATTTTTGAAGGCTGCTGGTCTTGGAAACCCGTGTAGGATTAGTATTGTGGATGTAGTTGTTGTGAACAAAGAGAAGTGCATATGTGCAATCAGTGGGTAATGTGATTTGAGCTGGTGTCATCTCCTGGCTGCGCCTTGCATATAGCTCCTGGCGCATTAGCTAGGGACCTCTGCAAATGTGGAGGCTGCTGAAATAAAGAGATTTTCTCCATGGGAGATACCAAATGAAGGGGAAAAAAACAGCTTATGATAAATAAAAGTGATAAATTAGCCAGTGGGTTAAGCAATAATGAATCAGTGTGAGGCGATTTGCAACCAGTTCCAATTAGACAGGAATACTCTAAGTAAAGCTCAGCATACTGTTTTAGACAGTTATTTCTTCATTAAGCATCACTCAATGATTCCTTTCACAAATACTCTAATCTGATTTCCTTTTGATTTCCATTAGAGACAGTGAATAATGACATTTAATTTAGCTGTGCACCATAAACCAAGAGATATTTCTTGTAATTGAATTACTGCCTGCTCCTCACCATGGTCTCATAACTTTCAATTATAACCCTGACAGCTGGGTGGTATGGGGTTCCAGGACACGCTAAAAATAAAAGGTTAATAAGGACCAGTAAGACATAGGAGCATCAATTTATTTACAGCAAATTTCCACTCTAAATTGAAACTGTATCCTCTAACAACAAGGACAGTGTGTGCTGATAGAATGGCTTTTACTACAAGCCAGCAAGTATTAAAATGCTCCTGTGACTTCTCCTATATCTAAGCACCCCTCCTTTGTTAATCTTTGTACTAATTCTTAATATGCCTGCTTATTTGTAATCTCCTCGTTTGCTTTATTTTTAATACATCCAGCTATTATCAAAGCGAATACTTTTTTGTTTCCCTTTTTTTGGCATCCTCCACCTGAATCAATATAGACATTTTTTGGGCTGAGAATGTTTCCAAGCTCTGTGATTTTCTGCAGCTTTGAACATCCTGTTAAGGTGCTGCTCTCTAATAAAGTACTAAAAAGAGACAGTGCAGAATTACATTACAAGTAATTTGTTTTTATAGAAACACTACATCAAGGCACAGGGAGATATTACAGCTCCAGAACGTGAGAACTGGAAATGACATAAAAGTTGATATTCCCTTTAGCTAAATAAAAAAGACGCTTAGTTTTGTCTTTATTCGTTTGGTTAGGACAGTCAGATCAATCCTTCATGTGAACTGAGCCTAGCACAACATGCCCTGAACTGTGCTGGGACCCTGTATTCCCAGACTTTAGTTAGGACATGGGGAAAGGAAGTGTTTAGTTTGGGAATGCTTATGTACAAAACACTTATCAGAACTATTTTGTTCTCAGGCATGGAGAAAAGAAGAAAGAAAGGCCACGAATAGCATGCATGGTCAGAAAAGAAGTACCAATAAAAGCAGCAAGTGCTGGGTACTGTGGGGTCACTGAGTGAGACAACAATATAAGCAGCAAGTATGGGGAGTGTGTGGTCACTGTGTGAGACAACACTATAAGCAGCAAGTATGGGGAGTGTGTGGTTACTGTGTGAGACAACAATCTAAGTAGCAAGTATGGGGAGTGTGTGGTTACTGACTGAGACAACTATCTAAGCAGCAAGTATGGGGAGTGTGTGGTCACTGTACATGAAAATACTATAAGCAGCAAGTATTGGGGACTGTGTGGTCACTGTACATGACAACAATATAAGCAGCAAGTATTGGGGACTGTGTGGTGACTGGCTGCATAAGACAACAATATAAGCAGCAAGTATTGGGGACAGTGTGGTCACTGTGTAAGGCAGTAATATAGGCAACAATATAAGCAGCAATTGGGACTGTGTGGTTATGTTAGGACAGCTATAAGCAACAACTAGTACTGTGTAGTCAGTCACTTTATAAGGCAGCAACATAAGCAGCAACAGGGACTGTTTGGTCATTGTTGAATATTGCAAAAAAGCAGCACTGGGGACTGTGTGTTCACTAAGTAAGGCAGGCATACAAGCAGCAATAGAGACTTGTAGTTACATTGTAGGGCAACAATATAATCAGCACTAAGGGACTGTATGCTCGCTTTCTAAGGCAACAATATAAGAAGCAATAGGGACTGTGTGGTCACTTTATAAGACTGAAGTCCTACAAATAAGAGAGTTATTGGCTATTACTATTATACATTAAACAATACAATAAACATTTAATACAGGGAAAAAAAATATTTTCTGCTTTTTTATTTTTTACTCAACATAATATATAACATGGCCACTTTTAAGCAATGGTATTTAGTTGAAGAGTCAAATTGAATATTTCAGCCAAAGTGCTACACAAGATGAAAATGACCATCGCCATCAGCATTGTACCATCTAAAATCGTGGCTCTTGCCTTTTTGCATGCAACTTTAATGCTTGAATTTGCACTTGTTTTAAGCGCAATTATTTCTAAGCCTTGACATTATTTTATCTTTATCGATTGGTGCTCGGACAGGAAAACTTATGTCTAATAGAGATTTAATTCAACGCGTCCTGTCATAAACGTTGAACGCTCAGCTAAAAGCTCGTAAATACGTTTTACTGACTAAATAATAATTTTCAGGATTGTGTTTCCAGCACTTTCAAAGCAGCGAGAGAGCAGATGGGGTAGACTTGGATGTCATAAATCCATATGCCTGTCAAGTAGGTCAGCTGGGGCACCGTTACCCCCCGGCTCATGATAATCCAGCCCCAAAGCAGCCAAATAACCTTTAAAGAGGCCTATTTTATTCGGTGGTGGCAACGACATAAGGTGGAAAATTGTGCAGAAAACTAATAGGGTTAGATGTGCATGCGGTGCCAAAATGTGCCTGAGACTAGGTGCTGGATACAGCCACATATATGTAGATAAAATGTGCATGCTAATTGTATATAAAATATGCGCTTAGCTCTTAATCCAATTCTGTGTATTTTAGTCCTGAATAATAATGATATTAATAATAATAATCACCATAATAATAACCATAATATTATTGTTATTATTATTTTAATTTTCTTTACTATTTATTTTTTACAAAATATAAAATAAAAGTGAGCTGCGATAACAGTTATATTCACACTGCACATACCATTAGATCTATAAACATTTTCATCAGCGTCATTTTCTTTTCTGCACTTATAAAAAGCGTTAACGCGTACCTGCACCCTGGCCTCAGAGAGTCCCAGCCTTTGGCTCAGCTCTTCCCTCATAAAAGCATCAGGGTAGTGAGTCTCATCAAACAGTCTTTCAAGTTCATTTAACTGCTCCAATGTAAAATTCGTTCTGCTTCTCCTCTGTTTCAGCTTCGTTTGCCCATCCTCATCCTCGGATTTCACGTCGTCCCTCTTCTCTTTGCACTCGTAGATGCCTGCCAGAAAGTAAGTAGAAGGAGTCAGCAGTTACCAAAGCCTGGCTGGGGCCTTCGAGCTCCAGCAACAGTTAGATAGACTTAAATCCCCCTAATACTTCAAACAGCCTGTTCTTTGATATCTGTGCACCCTCCTCTTCTGTATTCACAATAACTAGCGAACCCCTTTTGATAAATGACCTCATACATGATCTTCAATTAACAATTGTGTGTATTAACATTTATTCTTTATTCTTTTGCCCTAGCATAAAAAAAGAGAAAAAAAAATAGATCGATGATTCAATTTGATTTCCCTTCAGTAGGAAGAAGCCAGTAATCTTCATAATTACTCTTTTATCCACCATGTATTTCATGAACTAACCCGCTCCAGCAGATACCTTCTAATGTATTCTCAATCGATTTATATTAGTCCAAAAGCGTTGTAGAGAACACAGGCACAGAAATCAATTGGAGACACATCGAATGCAAATACAATGGGACCAAGGATTTGTATCTATTTAATATCATTTAATAATGATAATGAATCCAGTCAGTGGCCCTGCACACTCGGCTCTGTTGCTTCATTACACACAATAAATAGATTATCAGCAAATGTTACACACTACCCACTCTCCTGGGTTTATAGAAGAACACTGCAGTCACAGTACAGCCAGTGCTGACACCTATCAGACCTACAATTAAAGCCCTTTTTAGCCACGTACAACATGCATTCCTGCTACAGGTCTTTTTAAGTATATATTTTAATGACAGGCGTACATGCATAACATACATAGGTAGTAGACAAAGATGTACAGATGGCTAGGAATATAATAAAATAAAATGGAAAAGAATGAAATAGAATAGGATAGAATAGAACAGAATAGAATAGAATAGAATAGCACAAAACAAAAACAGAACAGAGAAGAAAATTAAAAAAAAACAGAATATTTATAGTGTACTCCATAGCGAATGTAACAGCCATTTTGAATGAATTAGTTGACATTGTATATATATATTCCATTGCACATATAGCAGACATAGATACATTAGTAAATAATAATATTATGTAAATATAACTATAGTGTATTTTATTGCACATAAAGCAGACATAGATAAACTAGTTGATATCAGGTATATATAATTATAGTGTACTTTATTGCAGATATAGCAGACATAGATAAATTAGTTGACACTATGTGTATATAGTTATAGTGTATTTTATTACACATATGGCAGCCATAGGTAAATTCGTTACCTATTATGTATATATAATTATATTGTATTATATTGCCCATAGCAGATATAGATAAACTATAGTTGACATAAACCTTAAATGTAGTTATTGTGTATGCCACAGCACATGTATCAGCCACTGAGACATTAGTTGTCATCAACTGCATATATAGATATAGTGTATTCCATTGCACATATAGATAAATTAGTTGACCTTATGTATATATAGTTATGGTGTATTTTATTGCAGGTATGGCAGCCATATGTAGATTAGCTAGCTACCTATTATGTGTGTGTGTGTGTATATATAGTTTATTCTATTGCACATATAGCAGATATAGAAAAATTAGTTGATAGCATGTATATATAATTATAGTTTATTTTTTTGCAAATATAGCAGATATAGATACATTAGCTGACATGATGTATATATAGTTATGGTGTATTTTTTGCACATATGGCAGCCATAGGTTAATTAGCTACCTATTATGTATATATAGTTAAAGTGTATTCTATTGCCCATATAGCAGATATAGATATACTATAGTTGACATTTACCTGATATGTAATTATAATGTATTCAACAGCACATGTACAGCCACAGATACATTAGTTAACATCAACTATATATATTATATATAATTATAGTGTATTCCAGATTACATGTAGCAGTCATGTATACAGTAGTTTGAGGATAAAGTGCCTCTCAGTAGGCTCGTCTGTCATTAACACAGTACTGTGCTGTACAGAATGCAGGGAACAGTCAGTGTAGCTTTTATCAATGATTCTTCAATCAACAAGGCAAGAAAGTGGCTCTGGAGGTGGTTAATGGAGCCTCAATTAGAAATATGATAGTCAAGTGTCAAGGCTTTCCCTTATAATTTATCTATAAACACTCACGCTGTTGCAGTACAAAACA